CATGACATGGCAATTGTAGGTGAATCCTTTCCGCAGAAACCAAAGTGAAATCTGCCCTACCGTTGGCTAGTAAAGTATCGCACATGAAGATCGACCACATAAGTCGGCGTCGACGTTCTTGGCCAACAAAGGTAAGTTTCTTGTCGGTATAGTTTAATCGCATGGCGAAAGCAAATCTAACGACAAGAGCAGAGAGGGCCATCACTTTTCCGAATTTCCTTGATGTCAAACGATCGAAAATGACTATTAGAAGGGTCTCGATGACCGAAAGAGAAGGCTCCGTAATCATGTTCAAGACTTGGTCCTCAGCCTCGTCAATCCAAGTTGCTGCTTGTTGACGTTGGGCATCATTTGTCGCTAGAAATCTTGCAGTGGCGCCTAAAGTATGTGGTGCTTAGCATCTAACAAGGCATGGATGGTTGAGAAGAACATCTTATCACATTGGGGTGGGGTTAACTAACCACAAAGAGCTTGAAGGAGATGTGGACTATGTGCATCTTTGGACCAATTCTGGAGGAATATCGCTCGATGGAGAAAACTCTGACCGGGAATTGGATAGATAAACTCAAAGAATGCGTCGATGTGCTGCCGAACTATGCCTTTTTCTGGACAAATGTCGCTGAGGAATTAGCCTCACGGCAGAACTGCGATGGGGAAACGCTCACAGTTGTATAGATGGCGAACTTGATGAGTATTGACATTCGATACCCCTTTGTGAGCATCTCTCGCATTGAGGGATCTCTCCAGAACACTTCGCTTTTTGGCTGTGGCAACTCAGACAAGCTTTTCTCCCTCGACGACGTTCAAGGGTCATGGTAGAGTTCGGTGATAGACTTTGACAGTGTTTCGAAGATTTATTTTGGATTTGTTCATCTTGAACCTTGAAAGAGCAAGTGAAGCCCAGTCTCAAGCAATTCTCACAGCCACCTACAGCTCCGTCACAACGGACCTGCTTGAGTCAGCCCCGAATGAATGTTCAGATCGATCAGAATGTTCCTGGCAGTACCTTACGATTACGGCATTGGAAGCAGATTCTTGTGGGTCTCTTCTCTGATTTCGATATTCTCGAAGACTTGCGAGAAGTACTCCTTTGTGCTGTCATCCTGGGGCAATGTAGTGCGGTAGCCGAGCCACGTGATTGCTCTGCCAGCACGTGGCATACGCCTTCTTGAATGTGATGCTTAAATTCCCCTGTCTTCTTGTTGCAATCCTGAGATACAGATGGAGAAGCCGATGGGTCGGGGAGAATTCGTGGTGATGGTGATAGAAAGCACCGGAGCCTCCAACCTACAGAAACTCAATTGTCCCCCCGACAGCCGTTAGCTCCGGAATTGCTTCAATTTCGAAGGTGGACACAACGCCACGAAGAACACCACGAGACATTTCTCCTGAGCCGTGCACACCATCTGTTCCCCGCTCCTGTCTCTGCCTCTCCACATCTATGCTGCCTCATTCTGCACTCCAGGTGGTAGCGTCCAATGGCAAGCATCTGTGGACCCTAGATAGCTTCTCGTTCTCCACACCCCAGGTGGTTTGTTCTGTCGGGACACCCTTATGCGGGCTTTGGTCTCATCTAGGTTGCCAAGGACCAGAGTAATGGCTAGATGTTGTAATTTTCGCCAACGACTTCATTCCTTTAGCCTCCTTGACGCCTCCTCTTCGTGGATACTCCGCTTCTCCAGGTCTGCATCCGATCTTGACTCAATTCTAGGATGGGTCGGATCTCTACAAGATATTGCTATCCCCCACCCAAGAGGAGTCTTTTGATCTTCAGTCAAGCTTCTTTTTCAGCATACCACATTCGTAAGTATTTGCAACTGTCAAGATGGCGTCCAAGAACTCAGTGCTCCAGCACTTCAACAAATCCCTGACACTAGCCTGCATGCTCATTGCTGTCTCGACATTCAACTATGGGTTCGATAATGCTGGATTCAATACCACGCAAGCCATGGATGGGTTTCAGCAACAGTTCGGACGATACAACTCAACAACAGGCAAATACTTCCTCCCACCTTCATGGCTGTCACTGTTCAATAGTCTGAATTACATCGGATTTGGAGTGGGTGTCATGGTAGGAAGTTTGGTCAGTGCTAGATATGGCAGACGTATGTGTATGTTTTCAATGAGTTGCTACGCCCTGGTCACTGCGACCATTGCCATCACATCTACGACTCGCGAGCAAATCTTGGCTGCCAGAGTTCTGAATTGTAAGTCAGCATTGCCCGTTCGAAGCTTCAATGTTAACTTGGAACAGATATTTACGTTGGCATGGAGCTCGCTGTTGTTCCAGTCTTTCAATCCGAAATCGTCCCTGCCCCAGTGCGTGGTTTAGCTGTCGGTTCATACCAATTCAGTTTGATGGTGAGTAAAACCGAAAATCAGAGACTCAAATACTGACTCTTGGTAGTTTGGTACACTGATTGTAAACTGTGTCTGCCGTGGCACGAGCACCTTGGAGGGAAATACGGCATGGCGAATTCCGATTGGTCTTTTCTATCTTGTGCCAACCATTGTACTTTGCCTAGTCTGGTTCATCCCAGAGGTATGGACCCCACTTCAACTCGAACTGCCTTTCTAATACCAATTTCAGTCGCCACGTTGGCTGTTGACAAAGGACCGGGTCGAGGAGGCAAAGGCTGCATTCTACAAATTCAGAGAAGGATGTGTCAGCGATGAGGAAATTGCTACCGAGTTCGAAGCTTTGCAACTTGCATTGAGACTCGAGCCCGAACAAGGAAAATATATGGTTCGTAACTTCCTGCCCTGAAAGAGTTCGATCTGGGATGCAGGGATCAGGTCCTCTGTTCTCGATCTCAAAATCCCAAGTCAATGACAAGAAACACATACTAAGGTCTTGATTAGGAGCTTTTCCAAGGCGTCAACAAGCAGCGAACTGCTATCGTTGTTGCCATGAACTTCTTCCAGCAAGCCACCGGTCAGGCATTTGCTTCAACATACGGCACAATCTTCATCAAGGGTCTCGGCACGATCAACCCTTTCAATATGAGCATTGTTATGTCTGTCATCAACTTGACTTTGGTCAGCACAGGTCTGTTCCTCAACGATCGGATAGGACGAAGGTAAGTCCATCACTTCAAGCTACAAATTCATTTCCTAACATCCATTCAGACCTCTACTCTTCATCGGCGCCAGCATTCAGATCGCTGCAATTCTCACTATGGGTGGCCTCGGGACCGTCTCAAACCCAACGGACGGTCACAAAATCGCAATTGTATCCATGCTTATCCTCTTTTCGGCCGGCTTTGTCTTCGCATGGGCGCCTCTCACCTATGTCATCACTACCGAAGTCTCAGCACTCCGCCTCCGTGATGCTTCTCAACGTACTGCCTCGATGGTCAATGTTCTCATGAACTTCGCCGTCAATTTCTCACTCCCATACTTGCTTTATGCACCATATGCCGCGCTGGGATCGAAAGTTGGGTTTATATTTGGTGCGATTGCAGTATGTGCAATAATTTTTACGTTCTTCTGTGTTCCGGAATGCAAGGGTAGGACACTGGAGCAGGTCGATAGGATGTTCATTGAGGGTGTCCCGTTGAGACACTTCGGAAGCCACCAAATCACTGATATAGAGGAGACAACTCTGGAGAAGGGTGACATGGGCGTTGAGGTAAAGGCAGTTGAGAAGGTTTGAGTGGTGAAGGACTGGTGATCATTAAGAAGACATTTGTTTAAATTATCATAAGAATCTCAACAGGCATTGACCTTACAATGCGATGGATGGGAGCACAGCTACCGTGAATATTTCAGAAGATCGGGAAGAATGGTCTCCACTGAGCAGCAAACTTTGTGTGCATGTGCCTTAGGACCTAGGACCTTGACCTGTGGGTGTGGTCGTGACCCTGCCCCGTCTACCCACCAATGCAAATACCATTTGGCTCTCAGTCCATCAAAGTGTCTGGCCTGTACTGCGTGACCTGGATATTGAATGTATTTGCACTCGAATATGTGTACTCGGAGACTTTGGTGACTTTGACCATGGCTGGGCGCCGGGCTGGGGCTCGACTTCGGGGATAAGCGTGGTTTTTGAGTAGATGATTCTATCCGTGAAAGACATAGCTCGATAGCAAAACAGGTCCAATCTTGAGATTGGCAAAGTTTGGCATTTCTAGAAGATTTCCGAGGCGTCTGCAGAAGCTGTAAGAAAGCCGTACCCCTTGAAGGAAACCTGGCCTCGTCATGAAGTATTGATAGCCATGTGATGAAGCACAAATCAGCAGATTATTCGCTGAGATGCATGGCAGCGAATTGGGAAGATACGTAGACAAATAGTAAAGGCCACTTATTAGCCGATGGACGTATTCCATGGATAACCTCCCAGCAAGAGCAAAGGTGTCTATCGGGTTCAGTTGGAATGCCCGATTGAGGCACGTGTAGAACACTAAAACCAACATGCGGGATTACTATTTCAAACGTGTATAATTGTTTAATACACAAGACGTCTTTGCGAATCTGGAAAAAATAGCTTGTCTTCTTCTTTAACTTGTTTTGGATTTATTTACAAGAAGTTGGTACACTAAAATTGGCTTTTATCGCAAAGCGTGTACTTGTCATAATCGGCCACATCCAACTGAACCCGATAGGGTGGATGTTGTCTCAGCAAGAGTGAAGCGAGACACTTCGCCTTGAGAGCTGCTCTCTGTGTTCTGCTTTCATAAGGAGGCATTGCAAGTGGCCATTGAGAGGCAACAAAATCTTATGGAAAAGACGCTATTATTCATCGTCAGATGAGCCAATGTCCGAAGTTTCTAACGGCAACTTTCAAGTCATTTGTTGAAGTCATGACATGGGTCCCGTCCAAGAGAAATTTGTGGTTCAGACCCAACAATACTGAGTCAGCAAGTAAGCCACCAACCGCCGAAGTAGTCCACCAGGAAAAATCCGAGTTTGGGACCAGAATTTCTCTTAGTTATACCTAACGAGATAAGAAATTTTGCGACACAACCACGCACCACAACAGCTGATTAACAGTTTGTACATCCCTCGTGGCGCAATTGGCTAGCGCGTTCGACTGTTACTTGACAGATTCATCGAGAGGTTGGTGGTTCGAGCCCACCCGAGGGAGCAGACCTTAAGTTGCTCCATGCGAACTTTCATTTTTGGATTTTTTTACCGCAATTGCTGATCCATTAATCCCGATTAGTATGCCACCTCCATACGAGATCAAGCTCATCTGTTGTACCGAAAGACGTGGATGGATCTGGAGGATGATGCACATTTTCAACTGAAATTGACCCCGCCGAGGTTCCTCCATATCATCCATCCTAGCTTGCCCGGCGGGTTCTTGTTTCAACGGAGGAAAAACTTTTGGGGAAGAAGAGTCAGCCATACAAGGATATTTAGACCACAGGCATCGTAGCAAAAGGCTCTCTTTGCCTTCTGCCTTTTTGTTGACGGCCTGCATAAAGCTCCCTGGTTCATGGCATTGGAACAACTGTGTAGGCATTCTAAGCGCACTCTGGCATTTGGTCTTTCTGTGATATTCTCGAAAAGAAACTCAAAGGGAAAGTAACTTATGAGACTGCTACGGACAATTTCTTCGGCGTTCCTGTGGCGTGAGATGGATTCTTTCCCATTGCTATGACTTGAGCCGGAAGCCATGTTTACTCGCTTACAGATTGAGGAAGGTTTGAAGCTTTTCAGGCAATTCGATAATATTATTCAAAGACTTGCCTCCTCGATAGTGGAAACTCATCCAGAAATTCCTAGCCTTTCATTTGGTCATCGAATTGTTACTAATGTATGCTTTCTCGTATTGTAGTGGGAGGTGAAGGTGTTCTTGTTCTATTTTCAAGGAGTGAATGCCTGTATTCACTCTTGCTATTGTGAGCAATACTTATTGTTGCTCTTACCTATGTCATATCATCACTTCGATATTTTAAGAGGCCATTTCTTTTCAAAACTCTTCAAATATAGATCTTCCTCATTTTTCAGACTACAACCCCAATCTTCTCCGAGATACGCAGGTACAGCCAAGGTGGTCCGTGCACTCCAGCTTGATCTCGAATCTCAACATGGCGAAGAGAAACATCAAGATCGTTTCGCGACGGGGAGGAAAGAAACTCGCAACAAAAATGTCAGCAGGAGAAGCTTCTCCCCATAGAGAGGCGACGCCTACAGCCTCAACACCAATTTCCTCAATTCCACAGAAGCGCGCGCTCGAAGATGATCATCAACCCGCGGTCTCGTCTCCCTTGAACCCCGACTTCAAGTCCAAACCTCAAGATGACGCTCCCCTCGCGCGCGAACGCGCATCAAGGGCCAAGAAGGAATCTCTGAAGAAGCGCGAATCGAAGGCAGGATCTCTGGCCCCAGACTCGAGCGCGAGAGCAACACCAGATCCCAAATCTGCGAAGAGCAAGAAGAGTGAACCTGATCTGGCGCCCATCAGATACAAGCTACCTCCACCGAAATCTACAGACTTTGAAGCGCCTAGGGGACCAATTTTCATACCTGCGGATACAAGGACAGCGCCAGATGGCTCGGAAATCCAATTCAATGAGACAACCGACCAGTGAGCATTTGACTTGCATGCGCTTCCTAGCTAACCATTTGCCAGTGTCTATAATAAGAAGGGTTTCCATTATACCCATTGCATCGCAGACCCGGCCTTCCCATCCTCCCTTTTCTATCGACAATCTGAAGCGGAACCGTTCATACCCCGGCTGAACTTCGAGGATACCTCTACGCATATGTTCCTAGACGAAAGTGGCCGGCATGTTACAACAGACAAGGGCTTCAGAATGGCCAAGGCCAATGTCGGAGTACGGGAGGGAAGATGGTATTATGAGTGTAGGATCACAAGTGGAATACCAAAGAGGAAATCAAGCGCTCCGGTCGAGTCAAATGGTCACGTACGAATGGGATGGGCGAGACGTGAAGCTACATTGGATGCGCCGGTCGGGTACGATGCCTACAGTTACGGACTTCGAGACGCATCTGGTCAGAAAGTGTTCATGTCTCGACCAAAAGACTTCTTTCCAAACAACGAGGACATTAGAGAGGGTGATGTGATTGGCCTGGAAATTAACCTTCCCTCCGAGTCGCTTCATCGAAAAGTTGTAGAGGGACACTACAACCCCGCAGTCGATCTTGAGGATGAAGGAAATGTTGGAATTGAAAGACCAGATATTATCCGTGACAGGGTGCCTATCCGATTCAAGACACATCTATACTTTGAGCAGATCGAATACCAAGCAACCAAAGAACTCGAGGAGTTGATGAACCCATCTCCTGTAATTCAATCCACAGGTGGAGTTGGTGGTTCAACACAACAGCCAGGACCAACACATCCAATACCTGCACTTCGTACACTTCCACATTCCAATATCAAGATCTACAAGAACGGTCATTATATTGGCACGCCCTTCACGAATCTTCTCGCCTTCCTGCCACCAGCGTCAAAACCTCTCACCCAAGTTGGAGCAAGAGAAGGATTGGATAATGGCATGCTAGGGTATTATCCCGCGGTCTCTGTGTTCAGAGGTGGAGCTGCGGAAGTTAACTTTGGCCCTGACTTCTGGTATCCACCACAAGAAGAAGGTGAGCCTGATGATGAGGTCGATATGATCGGAAGCGACCAGCCAGTAGCGACAAAGGTTCCAAAGCTTCGAGCAACAGGCGAACGGTTCGACGAGCAGATCGTGGAGGACATTGTGTACGATCTTGTGGACGAGGTTGATTTCTGGATGCAAGATGGTGGCGTTAGCGGAAAAGGAGCAACAACTGGTGTGCGGTCTACAGCTGGAGTTTCGGCACATAATGGGATATCTGGAGGAGTTTTGGGTTCGGAGGAGATCAAGGAGTTGGTCCAGGAGGACGACTGAGCTGGAGTTAGGGGAAATACCTCAGATGTTGCATTGCAGATGGAGTTTCGAATCTGGCAGATATGATCTGAATGTACCACCACCCACATATGCTAGTCAATAGCCAATTCTTGACATCTGTAATCTCTCTTCAATAGCGCTTAGCCGTCGCTCATTGTCTCTGACCAATCCTATGACATCTGCCAGCATGAATCTGGATTCGGTAGTCTCTACTGCAATCCTACGTGTCTGGATCTTAAAGCAGTTCAGCAACATTCTACCTCCAGAAGGTTATTTCATTTACCTTTTGGAGCTTCTCCGCTATGCTCTCAATCCCTCCTTTACTTCTCAACCATAGCAGCCGATGAGAGAAATCGCATCTGTAGTGCTGTTGCGTTGCATCAAAACTCCATTCTAACTCCTTCTCTCTACCCGTATGAGGAGTTTCTAGGAAAGGACGCTCATATCTTTTGAAATCGTGTATCAAGTCTTTCACAGCATCATTTATTACTTTCGTCGGTCCACCCTCATCATAAAGCGATCTCTGCTTCGAATCCCTGTCCTGTGTTCCCTTCTCGCGCCGCCGTTTCCGTTTGAGATATTCGCGTTCTTCGTAGAGCGATTGACGGAGTGTTGAGAAGGCGTCTCGAAGTTGTGAGGGCGCCGAGACAACTGTAAGGAAAGCTCCCCAGAACGCATGAATCCAAATCGCGAGCGTGAAAGCAAAAGAGATGAAGCCGATGACAATCGATGCAATACTGATGGAAGAGAGGGGTGCCATGCTTTTGTGGAGCAGTATCCATGTGAGACAGCGTGGGGTGAAAAGCTTGGTTCGAGAGGTGGGGGAGGGGTCGAAGTAAATAGTTCGAAGCTTGAATGTTTCCGGGACGACCGGACATCCTCACATTCGATTACTTACCAATTCCTCTAACCTCAAGATGGGTTGGTCTTGTTGATTACAGTTCAGATTCGACCAAAGTTCAGATGTGCTATAGTATCGGGACGCAATTCAAAAGTCTTAATCAATGAGTCCTTGATCTCTCATCCACTTGGTTTATGTGTTTCTTCTTTGGCTTTTTTTGCAGAGCAGTTTTCATGAGCTTGCCTCCGTCCAAGTTCAAGACTCCTCGGACCGACCAAGTTATCCTGCATGGATCGAGCTTGAATATATCGCTCACACTGTGCTTCAAGTCCCTTTCTATATCCTGTCCGAAATCTTGTCACTGCTATTTGTCTCATCTCTTGGTCAATGTTAGACGTCTAAGTTGAGTTTGATTTCCATGACTTATACCGAGTGTTGAATTCTCCAACAAGCATGCCAATCGAGAGGCAGATAGAAGCAAGCTCGGTAAGTATAGATTGCATAAAACCTATACGCACAAGAGCATACAGTCATTTTGGACTCATTGATCAGGGTTGCTGAAATTTTCTTCGGCAGGGGAGTCCTTCTAACCCACGTGATTTTATACGATGCTGACAGGGCATCAGCGGAGGAAGTGGAACGCGCCGCAAAATTTGAGGCACAGTCTTTGAGCCTTGACAGATTCGGCACATCTTTGGCAGATCAGGAATCTTGACAGGATGCAGATTGACCGCAGCCAGCTGCGCCTTCGCACGTATCAGGTAATTGGAAACGACCCAGCAAATGCTGTCAAAGATTTGGACGTTATGTGGCCCCTGGATTACTTACCTATGTCATGGCCTGCTCCTTTAGAGAGTCCCTGTGAAAAAGCCTCAGATTTCAAGAAGTATTTTGAGATTATATGAGCGGCGCAATAAGCAGGAATACGTATGTTATCTCTCAACAACAGTGATGTCACGGACCGAGAGTGTCACTTCCTGCTTTCATGGGGTCCCTCTGGAAATGAGGCCATATATAAGAGGCGTATCGAATCATCATTTCCCACTTCATCCAATCCTTAACAGTCCTATCTTCTTTCCAAGCATCAAGCCCTTCACTTGGAGCTGAATCTCGACGAAAGTACCGAAAATGCAGCGATTTTCCAATCTCTCAAAATTTTCAGCCATTTTCACACTATTCTCTCAAGCACTAGCACTACCACACACCTCAATAAGAACGAACCCGAAGATCAATTGGGCAAATTGAACAGCTTCTGATCTTCCAAACCTCCGATGCGGGCAAATTGAAGTGCCTGTTGATTACGACAATCTCCATGGCGATTATTTCAATATCACATTTGCCCAACTCCAGGCCATCAATGTCACCAGTCGTATCAGCAGCTTAATAGTCAATCCCAGT